GAGAGGCCCGGAGCTCGTACGGGAGGTCGGCGGGGGTTGGGCTTGGCTGGGGCGGGGAATAACGTGGCTAGGGCCGGGCACCACACGGGCCCAGCCGGCGGAGTCGGGCGTCATGGGTGTCTAGCGTCGTTGTGGGAAGGTAACTTGCTTTTATTTTCGTCGCGACCCTCGCTAGCGAGGGAGATGGCCGAGCGTGGCTGGGGCCACTCGCGGACCCTGCCCCTGCGTCGGTTCCTCTGAGGCTCCTCTGCATGCGCTCCCATTCATTGTAGGAGCTGGAAGCGATCAAAGCTCGAGTCAGGGAGATGGAGGAAGAAGCAGAGAAGCTAAAAGAGCTGCAAAACGAGGTAGAGAAGCAGATGAATATGAGTCCACCTCCAGGCAACGGTGAGTAAGCCGGCGGTTTCCACGCATGCCTGGGCCCTAGGTTGGAGGGTTGTGGGGAGCACGGGGAATGTGGTGTTAGATGCTTAGGACCCCGAAGCTGGTTGTCTGAGCAGTTATTGGGCAGTTGCTGTGGTGAGTCTCCATTGTGTGCTCCGTTGACCTTTGTGAGAACAGACAAAATAGAACCTGTGTTTTGGTGATAAGAATCTTGTGCCTCTCTTTGTCTCTGTTATAAATGTGTTTCTCTTTGTTCTTAATCTGCCTCTACCCTTGTGGAGGTTCCCGTCTGGCATTTGACCTTCAAGTCTAATTTTTTTTTTTTGTTTCAGTTGAAGATTGTTTAGTTAGAACTTTAAGGGAAGCTGCTTAGCTGCCAGGAGCTTCTTTAATCTAAAAATGTCAAGTCTCAGCCCCTTAGTTTTGTTCACTCTTAAAGGCATTCAGTAAGGACTTGGTTTAAGGGTGGAGGGATTCCTATGTTGTTTTTGACTTTAGAGGATGTATTGATTTACCCCTTAATTTGTCAAATATTTAGTGCGAAACTGTTATGTGCTGGGCTGTGTTCTAAGGAAACAGCAGGGAATAGAATAGGACAGATCAAGAATCTTTGTCTTCACAGAGTTTATGGAATAATGGTGGTGGGGATGCATATATTGGCCCAGTAGAAAACGTGGGGAGGGCCATGCCTGTGTTCCCAACACTGGGAGGCTGAGGCCCGAGGATCACAACTGTGGCCAGACTGGGCTACATAACAAGTCTGTCTCAAAAAACCAAAGAAGAGGACCGGGGATTTAGCTCAGTGGTTCCAGTGGCCTGCTTCACAAGCACAAGGTCTGGAGTTCGATCACCGGTACCAAAAGAAGGAGGGGGAAAAAAAAGGGGGAAAGAAAACATGTTTATTTTTTCTCAAAGCTGGCCCAGTGATCATGTCTATTGAAGAGAGAATGGAGGCTGATGCTCGTTCCATCTATGTTGGCAATGTATGTATTAGAGATTCAATTGGGGTTTGTGGGGACATTGATATTTGGAGGAGTTCTTTAATAATCTTGAACATTTCCAGTATAGGCGGTGATTCTGGGTGTGGATAGGGTTGGGGGGAGGTAAAAGAAGATGGAGTTATCAACAACTCTAGAATTGGAAGTAAAAGGATTATTTGACGTGCCTTGATGTATATGTATAGAGATGGCCCAAACTAAAAGTCAGACAGGGGACTTGTTGAAACAGGAGATGGCCCAGTACCTGTAAAATGTCCCTCCTCTCCTCAGGTGGACTATGGTGCAACAGCAGAAGAGCTAGAAGCTCACTTTCATGGCTGTGGTTCAGTCAACCGTGTCACCATACTTTGTGACAAATTTAGTGGCCATCCCAAAGGGTAAGTAGGGAAATAAATTAAGATTGTTTTAATCAGTTAAAAATAACATAGCTTTTGTTTTTGTGGTGGTGGGGTTTAAACCCAGGGCATTGGTGCATGTTAAGCACGTTCTCTACCACTAAGCTATACACTCTAGGGCAATATCTTATGCTTTTCATTGAGCAGTAATTTATTTATTGTTAAAACAAATGGTCTTTTTTTTTTTTCCAAATGTGGTATTAATGTTGATGTATGTCTGAGGTTGCACATAAATTAGAAAGGGACAGGCAGCTTCTCATTGGCCTCTGATTTTATTATGGCCATATGAGAAACCCGGCTGTGTGTCCTAGTTTGTAATTTTGTAAGAGTAGCTAGAAATTTTGATTAAAACCTTTTGTTAATTTTTTTTTAATGATTTGTTTTGTTTTGTTTTTGGTATTGGGGATCGAACTCCTTGCACTGACTGGAACTACTGAGCTAAATCCCCTCCCCAAAACCTTTTATTTTAAGGAGAATTAAGAGCTGGGTGTGGTGGCACACGCCTGTAGTCCCAGCACTCTGGAGGCTGAGGCAGGAGGATTACAGGCAAGTTCAAGGCCAGTTTGAACTACATAATGAGACCCTGTCTCAAAAAAAAAACAAAAAAGTGAATTAATTAAAAATTAAACAAGTAGTATTCAACTAAGTTTGTCTACAAGTTGCAGTTAATCTGTGAGGTATTTGTGAATGCGGATAAAGTGAGTTATTCTCTTCAGGTTTGCGTATATAGAGTTCTCAGACAAAGAGTCAGTGAGGACTTCCCTGGCCTTAGACGAGTCCCTATTTAGAGGAAGACAAATCAAGGTAAGCCTTGCCATTGCTGTTTTGGTAACATAGAAACTTCAGGCTCATGCTACTAAGCCTTTCTGGGTTTTTTTTTGCGGGGGGTTGTACCGGGGATCGAACTTGGGACCTTGTGCTTGTGAGGCAGGCGGTGGAACCACTGTGCTAAATCTCCAGCCCCATGCTAAGCCTTTATGTTGCATGCCTTTACTCAGGTGATCCCGAAACGAACGAATAGACCAGGCATCAGCACAACAGACCGGGGTTTCCCACGCGCCCGCTACCGTGCCCGGACCACCAACTACAACAGTTCCCGCTCTCGATTCTACAGTGGTTTTAACAGCAGGCCCCGAGGTCGTGTCTACAGGTCAGGATAGATGGGCTGCTCCTCTTTCCCCGCCTCCCATGAGCCCTGTATGCTTCATTCTCTCCTGATCTGAGGACCTTCCCTTCCTTCCCCTCCCCTTGGTCTCCAGCCTGTGCAGGGTGAGGAAGGTAGTTGCAGGCCAGGTCAGGAGGCCAGTCTCGTCTTTTCTGGAGCAGAAATTGGTGACTAGGGCTGATCTCTTCTGAGATGTTTCCTCCAGGCCTTTTTTTTTTTTCTTTCTTTAGAGTTGGTTGCCTTGAAGCTGTTTACACAGGAAGAACAGGGCCTCAGGACTGTGATTGTTACTTTTCTCAGAGTTAGGGAGAGGTTAAACCTCCCTGAAGAACACCACCAGAGGCCAGTTGATTATTCCACAGCCATGTGGGAGGATTTTGAGATATTTATTCTTTGAGTCAGTCTTTTTCCAAGGTTAATTTCTTCATGGGCCTAGTGTGATGCCCATGTTGTGGCTTTACTTTTACATCTTTTCTCTACATTTAAGTAGGTTAGGCATAAAACCTTAACTTTTCACAAGGTAGGGTTTAAGAGCTGTAGACAGTGAAAACTGGATAAACACTGTGTCCTTTTTTCTTGCTCCTGTATCTCAGATGAATTTCTTTATTGCTGCTGTTGGGCAGATTGTTCTTTAGTGCCCCTTGCTACCCCCCATTTGCCAGGTGTGTTGCTATTTCTGGGATTGTGGAGTCGGTTTTAAGACACTCGAAAACTTCTTTTCTCCACTTCCATCCACAGTAGCTGGGGCGAGGGCCCACTGGGAGGGGCTTGTGCTGACCTACCTAGTGATCATGTTAACACCTAACTCTCCTTCTTTCTTCCAGGGGCCGGGCTAGAACGACATCATGGTATTCCCCTTACTAAAAAAAGTGTGTATTAGGAGGAGAGAGAGGAAAAAAAGGAAAGAAGGAAAAAAAAAAAAAAGAATTAAAAAAAAAAAGAAAAACAGAAGATGACCTTGATGGAAAAAAAAATATTTTTAAAAAAAAAGATACACTGTGGAAGGGGGGAGAATCCCATAACTAACTGCTGAGGAGGGACCTGCTTTGGGGAGTAGGGGAAGGCCCAGGGAGTGGGGCAGGGGGCTGCTCATTCACTCTGGGGATTCGCCATGGACACTTCTCAACTGTGCAAGCTGCTGCCCATGTTTCCCTGCCCTACTTCACCCCTTTGGGGGCTGCTCAAGGGTAGGTGGGCATGGGTGGTAGGAGGGGTTTTTTTTTACCCAGGGCTCTGGAAGGACACCAAACTGTTCTGCTTGTTACCTTCCCTCCATCTCCTCCCTGCCTTTCACAGTCCCCTCCTGCCTGCTCCTGTCCTGCCAGGTTTACCACCTACCCCAACCGTCTTTCGGCTCCCTGCCCTCCAGATTGCCTGGTGATCTATTTTGTTTCCTTTTGTGTTTCTTTTTCTGTTTTGAGTGTCTTTCTTTGCAGGTTTCTGTAGCCGGAAGATCTCCGATCCGCTCCCAGCGGCTCCAGTGTAAATTCCCCTTCCCCCTGGGGAAATGCACTACCTTGTTTTGGGGGGTTTTTTGTTTTTTAGTTTTTTGTTTTGTTTTTTTGTTGTTTTTTTTTTTTTTTGCCTTTTTTTCCCTTTTATTTGGAGGGAATGGGAGGAAGTGGGAACAGGGAGGTGGGAGGTGGATTTTGTTTATTTTTTTAGCTCATTTCCAGGGGGTGGGAATTTTTTTTAAATATGTGTCATGAATAAAGTTGTTTTTGAAAATAAAAATTGTTCTGGCCTTTTGGGTGTAAAGATCATTTTATCTTTTTATTCTTACATCACAGATGGCTGTTAATTTTACTTTGTGAAAGTATTGGTGTGGAGGGGAAGTTCCCACTTGTAAATTAAGGAGTAGGAGTTACAACTAGCAGGAACATTATGTGTTTAGTTATGGCTGATGTGTGTTCTGCATAAGTGAAAGAATAGCCAGTTTGGAATGATCTAATAGCAAAATTTACATGCAAGTAAACTATCCATAACCACACCCTAGATACTTAGCTTCCTATCTCAAATGCAAAAACAAAACCTAAGACAATTGCAGAGCATGTTTCTTAAAGCCATGAAATTGTTTTGGTATCTTACATTTTGCTGAGTAGATGTTTGGCCATCTTGGTAATTTCATATGTAAAATTTGCACAACTTTGGGATTAAGCCCAGGTCCTTCAATTTTTTTGTTTTTGAGACAGGGTCTTTGTAATTCAAGCTATCCTTGAACTCTGTAGTGCAGGCTGGCCTCGAACACATCCTCCTGCCTCAGCCGCCCATATAACAAAGTTACAGGTATGTGCTGCCACATCTGGCCTTTTTTGGGGTCTTACTAGTTGAGACTGACCTGGAACTCACTATATATATAGCCCCGGTTGGTCTTGAATTTACAGCGATCCTCCTTCCTCAGCCTCCCTACTCCTGGGATTACAGGCGTGTACCACGCCTAGTTTTATTTTTTTTTTTTGGTGGTGTATGTAGTTTAGGCTTTCCTTGTAACCTGAACTCACTGGTAATCCTACCTCAATCATGGGATTACAGACAAGTACTGTTACACCTGGCTCATTTTTAAAATTTTGAGGCAGAATCTCATTAAATTGCCAGGCTGTGTCACATTTTGGGTCCTGCCTCTCCAGAGTATTGATTATAGGCCTGGGTCATGTGTACCTGTCTTATTGACAGATTGGTCCTAAAATTCTTGGGCACTGCTCCCCAGCACAAGCCTACAGAATTTCCTTTTACACTGCGTGCTGGATTCTGTGTTCCTTCTGGTCATGGTCTGGATGCTCTTTTCTCCAAAAATCTTAGGTTGAAGTGGCTGTTATCCACAAAACCTAACCTACCTCCAATTACACTATCCTGAATTGTCAGATCCAAGTTAACCACTAGTGTATTAGTATTGACCATTGAGCATACTACCTCCTGTTGTGCAGTCTTTTTTTCTGGAAAGCTAGAATAGCATGAGGGCATCTCTGAGCCTGTGCATCATCTCCTGCACAGGATGATTAGCCATATGCTGGAGTTCATTAGAATCATGATCACCTTAATGCTGGGTGGTGGTGGTGGTGGTGGTGGTGGTGGTGGGTCTTCTCACCTACCACCAGGGGGCACTAAATATCTAGTTCTAAGACAGGCCTTTAAATTAGTTTTTGGAGGGAGAGTGTTTTTTGACATTTGGGTTTCATTTCCTGTGTTGAGTCCATTTTACGTTGTATTGTCTGTTAGCTTCTCCATTCCTGCTTGCACTGTTTTGAGCGGCTTCCCATTTGTTCTTGTTGCCAAAAAGGCCCTGTGATGCCACTTATAAGTACTGGGTAGACGTGTGGAATGAAGGCCTTTCCAGTTTACTCATCATGTTTCTCTGCTGCATCCTATCCTACCTGTGATGTACTGTGCACTCATTCCAGTTGCGTTGCTGTATTTTTTTTTGTATGACTCATGCTGTTCCCTCTATCCTGCTATAGGCATTCTAACTTTTCTATTGAAATCATTCAAATCCTTCAAAGCATAAGCCAGGTACTATACCCATGTCAGAATCACTGATGTGATCAGGGCAAACTTCCTATCTAGAGCCTCCTGGTGTTAAAAATTATATTCCTGTTTCCCCACTAGATTACAAGCTCCCTGAGGGCACAGATATGTCTTTGTATGTCTCACAGAGCCTGCCATTTATTATTTTATATATTTTAGTGCCTGCCATTTAGATGTTAATTTTGTTAGGGTTGCCTTTCCTATCTTGAACAAGGCAGTGACTATAAGTGTTCCCTTTATCCTACTGGTTCCCACCTCCACCCATCCTTATAATGAGGTAGGAGATTAGGGCATGGCCAGCCATCTGGGTAAGTGGGTGTGTTGTGTTAATAATAGAGATCCCCTCCCAAAAAGACCCCAAAAAGCAACAAAACAGTACCCATGCCCTACATCTGGGACCAATCAGAAAATGCTAGCCAGGTGTGGTGGCATATGCCTGTAGTCTCAGCACTCGGGAGGCTGAGGCAGGAGGATCGCTATGAGTTTGAGACCAGCTTGGGCTACATAGTTCCAGGTCAGTCTCAACTACATAGTGAGACCCTGTTTCAAAAAACCAAAACAAAAAAAATTGCTACCTTCAATCTTCAATCCTGGTGTGAAATCAAGCAGAATTTTTATAGTATGGCTTAGATCTGATGTTAGTCTGAGGAGTGGGGAATACAATAGGGGATGGCCATTTATGTGGCCTTTGTAAACTTCAGTGGCCCCCACTACACCCTACACAGGGTATTTATTTTCCTACCTTTTATACTTTTAATAACCTCGCTGCCTTTTACACTTGTCTTGACCAGTTCTTTATTCAGGATGACAAGAATCTAGACTCGAAGTAGCCCACAGCACCCTAGAGCCCATAACAATAGAACTCAGATTTTCTACTTTATCTGGTCTCTTATTTTTCCCTTTGTCATCATCAGGAGTTTTGTTTATTTTTTGGTTTTTTGAGACAAAGTCTGTCTTTACACTATGGGTTGGCCTTGAACTCAATGTATAGTAGCCCTTATTGGCCTCAAACTCACAATTTTCCTGGCTCAGCTTTCTGAGTGCCGGGATTACATTGGGGCAGCAGAAGTATGAAAAGAAAGGTGCTATCAGGGCTGGGGATTTAGCTCTGGTTTGGCGCCTGACTTGCAAGCACAAGGACCTGAGTTCAATACCCCATGCCAAAAAAAAAAAAAAAAAAAAAAAAAAAAAATTGCTATCCTTTGACAAGCTCAGTTGTTTTTGATAGGTGGTGTGTGTTCATCACTCCTGATAAACTTTCTGTTAACTGAAGAGGAAAGACAAGCTCAGACTCATTGGAGTGTTGTTGGTAGGAAGGGTTTTTAAGGAAGAATTTAGGAGAAACTACTTAAAAATTTGTTGTCTAAGATGAGGGTTGTGAGTCAGATCTTTAGAGGACCTTTGGATAACGTAAAATAAATCAAGATAACTCTTGGGGTGGGAGGGAAAGAAAAAAAAGATAACTCTGCACTTTGTTTATTGCACTACTGGGGATTGAATGGATGGCCTTCATATTGAGCTACATCCCCAGCCTTTTATTTTTTATTTCGAGGCAGGGTCTCACTCGCTAAATTGCCCAGGCTGGGCTTGAACACTTCTGACTTGGATCCCACAAAGTCTTCTTTTTTCTTTAAAACAGAATCTCACTATGTAGTTCATGCTGAATGTTATGTAGCCTAGGCTGGCCTCCAACTCCTGGTGATCCTCCTGCCTCAGCCTCCCTAGTGCTGGGATTAGAGGTGTGCACCATCACACCTGGCTCCAGAGTGCTTGTTTAATAGGTGAGCTGCACCATGTCACGCTAACTTTCCATTTTAAGGCAGGATTTGCCTATCCTGATACTGGCAATAGAAAAAAGCACTTGCTGGGTTTTTGTTTTTCCTGCATTTTTAAGTTTAGGTTTGTTTTATTTAGGTTTAATGTTAATTCCATGCTGTGTTTCAATAAGAACAATACAGATTCTGAATCTGAGGTTCAATCAGATAGTTTTTAGTATAAATTAGCTTCAAGTTACATACACGAAACAACAGAGGGAAGGAGTGGAGAGGGAGGCAGGAAGAGAAGGAAGGAGAGAAAACAGATTGCACACACGTGCAACCTTTTCCATACCATCTTGATGTTAACCTGCTCAGAAACAGAGTAAAATTGCTAGGCTTTTACAATAATTTAATAGTTTTTCCTGCTGTCATAACATGTGATCAAATTTCAAAATAACCCTGCTAACTTCCCATTCCTCTTTTCCTGTTATACTTATAGATAACCATTCATTCAAACAGACACATTATTTACCATGTGCTGGGCGTTGTTACAGAAAAAGGAGCCAGCTAGCAAAGGAGTTTTTATTTACTGATGAAAAGTATGTTTGCCACACCATTGGATTGTTGTTGTTTTGAGATAGTCTGTCGTGGTTTATATCTAGATGTCCCACAAAGCCTCACTGGCACATAGGTGGGACTTTGGGGAGTTGAGTGGACCATAAGAGCTTGATACTCATCCCTGGATGAGTCCACTGAGGAGCTCAGCTGACTGTGCTGTTGGGAAGGTAGCCAGGTCGGAGGAGGTGGGTCCCTGGGGGCGTGGCCCGGAAGGGTTTAGCATCTCCCTCCTTCCTCCCTAGATCTCTCTCTCTGCTTCCTGTCCGCCAGTTTCCTCGGAGTGCTGCTCTGCCTGAGAGCCTGCTGCTATAGACTGAAACATCTATAAACTGTGAGCCAAAATAAACCTTGCTCTTTTAATTGGTAAGTGTAGGGTATTATGTCCCAGTGAGGAGAAAGTAACTAAGGGTTTCACTATTCCAGGCTGGCCTAAACTCACAATGAAGCCCAGACTGGCCCTGAACTTGTGATTCTCCTGCTTCAGTCTTTGGAGTGCTGGGATGACAGGTGTGGGCCACCAGCTGATTTGTTCGTTTTGTTTTGTTTTTGTACTGGGGATCGAACTCGGGACCTTGTGCTTCGGAAGCAGGTGGCAGAACCACTGAGCTACATCCCCAGCCCCACCAGGTGATTTTTTTAAAAAATTGAGATATAATTAATATACTATAAAAATCACTTCTTAAGGCTACAGTTCAGTGGTTGTTAGTGTATTTAGATAATTAGAATACATATTAGTGAATATATACATATAGTGAATGTATATTATGTATGATAGATATTTAGAATACATATTAGTGAATATATCATTACTACACAGAACCTAATTTTAGAGCATTTTCATCATCCAAAAAAGAAATTCCCACTAGCAAGCACCTTCAATTTTCTCTCTCCCCAGCTCCAGACAACTGCTAGTTTACTTTGCATCTCTAAATTTCCCTTCTTTGGACATTTCGTATAAAAGGAATCATGCAGTCTGAGCACAGTGGTATATGCCCTGCCTGGACTATTTAGCAAGACCCTGTCTCAAAAAGAGAGTGTCGGGGGATGAGGGCTATAGCTCAGTGGAGTTCATTCCTCTGTAAAACACACACGCACCGGCGTGCACGGATCTTATAGCGTGTGGCCTGTGTCTGGCCTCTGACAGCACATCTTCAGGCTCACCCACATTGTAGCTGTGTTCCTCTTTATGGCAAATGCTTCATTTTATAACTATCCATTTTGTTTCTTTATAATCAGCTGACGGAGATTGTCTCTGTTTTTCAACCATTAAACACCTGTGCATTTTCTTGAGTATATATCTGAGCAGTGAGGCAGCTGAACCATATGGTCCTGTGCTCTGAATTTTGCTTCCTGCCCACCCAAATTCCCATCTTGAAATCTAACCCCCAGAGCGATGTATTAGGAAGTGTGAGGTTTCTGGGTAAGTGATTTGGTCATGAGGGTAGAGCCCTCACGGGTGGGATTACTACCCTTTAAAAGAGGCCTCTGAGAGCAGCCATGCCTTGAATGCTATGTGAGGATGATGCCAGAGGAAGATGTACCTCCACAGACACAGAATCGGCCAGTGCCTTGATCTTGAACTTCCCAGTATTCATGACTGTGAGAAAAAAGTTTATGTTGCTCAAAATACACCCACCTGGTCTATGGCACTTTGTTCAGAAGCCTAAAGCAAGGGACTAAGACATGGCGATTCTAGGAACTGCCCACTTTTCCAGAGCAGCACCAGTGACATGTGAGTGTCCAAGCACTTCACTTCCTGCCAAATTAATTGTCAATCTTAGTGATAGCCATTGTAGTGGGTGTGAACTGGTGGCTTATTGTGGTTGTGTTTTGACAGAGTCTTATTGTGTAGTCCAGGCTGGCTTTGAACTTTTACTTTTCCTGCCTTAGCCTCCTCCTGGGCTAGGATTATAGACATGTGCCACCATGCTCAGCTCAGTCTGTATTTTTTTTTTTTTGGTACCAGAGATCGAACTCAGGTCCTTGCGCTTGCAAGAAAGGTGGCCAAACCACTGAGTTAAATCCCTGGCCCCTCTGTATGTCTTTTTATGGCAGTGCCACTTTGTCTTCCTTACTATAGCTTTGTAATAAATTTTGTAATGTTGGAACTAGGCGTGGTGGCGCACACCTCTAATCCCAGAGTTTGGGAGGCTGAGGCAGAAGGATCACTGTGAGTTCAAGGCCAGCCTGAACTACTAAGAGTAAGACCTTGCCTCAAAAAACAGAGTAGATAAATAAATTTTAGAAGTGTGACTCTTCCAGCTATGCTTTCTCTCAGATTTGTTTGGCTATTCTGGATCTTCTGTGTTTTTGGTGAATTATAGAACCAGCTTGTCAATTTCTGCAAAAAAGACAGCTAGGATTTTAATAGAGACAATGCTGCATCCACAGATCAGTTGAAGGGAGTATTACTGTCTTGTTTCTCTTGTATTTAGTTTTTTTGGGGGCATGGTTTTCTATCTTAATATAAGTCTTTAGCCCATGAGAATTTTTTCATTTAGTAAGGTCTTGAAGTTTTTCCAATAGTGTTTCATAATTTTCAGCATACAAATCTTACACTTATTTGGTTAAGTTTATCTGTATTTTGTTTTTTTGCTGTTATAAGTGGAATTCTTAACTTCATTTCCAGATTGTCCATTGCTATTGTACAATTATTATTACTATTGTTGTTGTTTTCTGAGGTACTGGGAATTCAAACCAGTGCCTCCACAGCTAGACAAGCACTTTCCTTCAGAGCTACACCCCGAGCACTATTGTTGAGATTAGGTCACACTATGTTGCTCAAGTTGGCCTTGAACTTGTGATCCTCCTATTCGAGCCTTCCAAGAGGTTGCTATCATAGGTATGTGGTGTTACAATTCATTTTTTTGTTTTGTTTTTTTGAGGCAGGGTCTCACTATGCAGTTGAGACTGATATGGAACTCACTGTAGCTCAGGCTGGTCTGAAACTCACAGCGATCCTCCTGCCTCAGCCTCCAGAACTGGGAGAGAGAAATTTCTTTTGTTTGTAAGGCAGTCTATGGTATTTTATTTATTTTCATCTATGATATTTTATGATAGCCTGGTCAGGCTAGGACATTTTTTTCTCCTCAAAGCTGCCAGTGCGTTCTTTGTATTTCTTTGCATTTTCCACAGAGCATTGTAATTACATGTCTCATGGTCTTCACTCAGAGCAGCGGTGGAAAACCTATGGCAGGGGTGCCACAACAGGCTGTCTGTATCACTGAAAGCTCTAAAAGGTTCATCACTCACCTAGACTGAGCAAAGCTGGGTGAGGACCATGTGTGCTTCCAGATCCAAGGTCACACCAGACATTAATAACTAATTAAGAAAGGTGGATCACCAGGTGTGGTGGCGCACATCTGTAATCCTGGCACTTGGGAGGCTGAGGCAGGAGGATCGCTGTAAGTTCGAGACCAGCCTGGGCTACATAGTGAGTCCCAGGTCAGTCTCAACTACACAGTGAGACCCTGTCTCACAAAACAAAAAAACAAAAAAAAAGAAAAAGAAAAGTGGCTTCATGGTTGCCAGGCTGAGACATGGAAGTGTCACTTCATATAATGTGTGTGTGTGCTGGAGACTGAACTCAGAGCCTCTGCAGTGAGCTGTATCCCAGCTCCTCTTCCCCTTTTTGGAGACAGGACCTTGACTAGTTGTCTAGTTGGGCTCTGACTTGAGACTCCTGCCTCAGCCTCTCAGAATGCACCCCTGGCTTCATATGACTTTTTAAGGTTAAAACTGTACCCCGCCTGGCCAAGTGCAGTAGCACATGTCCATAATCCCAGATTCTTGGGAGGCTGAAGCAGGAGGACACAAGATTAATGCCAGCCGCATGAGCAATTTAGAAAGATCCTGACTCAAAAAATAAACATGGCTGGGGGTGTACAGTACAGTTCAGTGGTAGAGTATTTGCCTGGCATGTGCAAGTCCATGGGTTCAATCCCTAGCCCTGAAAATAAAAAAATAACCCTGTGTATCTTTTTAATTTCCTTCTCAATAGTTGACAATAGCTCTTAGTTGTGACTCTAAGAATCCATGTTTCAATTAGTATAATCTCTTTGAGAAAATTAGTCATTTCTCTTATTTGCCTGATAACTATGTCCCTGAAGTTCCTGGAGTATCTACTTAACTTAATTTTATAGGCTGAATAATATCTCTTCTTATGGTTAGAATATTTCTGCCCTGGCATGCAAGACTGCAGGCTCACTTCTCAAGATCTGGCCATTCTACTTACCAGCATGTTACCTTAAATAAATTAACTCTTCTCTCCAAGCCTTCATTTTCCCATCTGTACAAGCCTAAAAAATAATAACCATTTTTTCATGGCGTTATTATCGAGGATCTAATGAGATTTTGTGGAATTCATCAGAATTCATTCATCAAAAGCCCTGATGCAGATGCTACTGACATGAATGTTACTGGTTCCCGATTCTGCACTGTGAGGCTTTGTGGCTCCTGACCTTTTATAACTAGGTCTGGCTTTCCTTCCATCTTCTAAATTCTGACCATTAATCTGCTCATCTAATAAATTCCTACATGTATTATTTGTGGTACAAGGGATGGAACCTAGGGCCTCATGGGTACTAAGCAAGTACTCTCTCACACCTGAGCTACACCCTCAGCCTTTTAAAATTTTATTTGGACACAGGGTCTCCCTAAGTCGGCCAGGCTGGCCTTGAATTCACAATCCTCCTGCCTCAGCCTCCTGAGTAGGTGGAATTACAGGATTGTACCACCATGCCCAGTTCGTTAGAGTCAGTTGCTTATAACAATAACAACAAAAACCCCTAATGATCCAAATACTTACCTTGCAGTTGTAGTAAGGATTAAAAGGGTACAAAACATCTAGCGCAGTTCTGGCAGCCCAGCAAGCAATCATTAAGTGGCGACAGCTGTCTGTAAATTAACACTTGGGGGCAGGGCATGAGGAAGGGGAGGCAAGATTGTTAACAGTTTGTGTTCCACTGAGAGAAGCTTTCCCTGGAGAGACAGAAGGACAACAGAAGGGAGAAGTCCAGGCTATGATGTGCTCATTTATTCAAAATGTCTTTATTGAAACAGAATGATAGAGCAAGAAAGAATGAGGTCTAGGAGGATGTCTTTGGGTACAGGATGGAGCCCAGACCCAGTGGTTACAGCGCAGAGCTCTTTGCCTGTCCCTGACCCTTGCTGAGAAGGTGAACACAAAGCAGCAGGGAGGAGGTGGGGTGGGGGCAGCCCTCTGAGCTCTTCTGGACGGCTGGCTTGTGGTGCCTCCAAGCCCTCCTGGGAGCCCTGCCTTCCTCACGGTCTTCCCATTCTCCTCGCTGGGGTCCCACGCCACCTTTCCAAATGGGCCAGCCTCTCGCCAGAGTGCTAGAGGCCACTCAGAGGGCAGCGTTGGGGGTGGCAAGCAGCGGGACATGGTCGCAGCGGTTAGGTGGTGGCTGGCGCAGCAGGGAGGGCCGGCGGCACAGCTCCCCGTCCCGGAGTACCTCAGGCAGGAGCTTGCGCTTGGTCTCAGGCAGAAGCATAATGCTGAGGATGCAGAGGAGGGCACAGGCCGCCAGCACCACGTGCTGCAGGAAGGCTCCATGGCCCATATGGAGGCGCTGGGCTGGGCCACTCAGCCCTCCAAGGGCCCCCAGAGCCATGATCAGGCCCAGGCCTCGGCCCCTGGGACAGAGGGAGGAGGCGCTCAGCCTATGGCTGTGGCCTCACCCCATCCCTTCTCCTGCAGCTTCCCTCCATAGGGGCTGGGGGCCTGGCCCCGCCCTGGCTGCACCCCTGCTCTCACCGGACAGTGGTAGGGATGACTTCGGCAGCAAGGAGGGTGCTGAGGATGGCAGCAGCTTGGGAAGAGAAGAGTCCGAGGACAGAGAAGGTGGTGATGGCAGACTCATTCAGATCTGGAGGACCAAGAAGGATGATATGAATAGAGGTAGGACGATCATGCATAGCCTCATCCCCAGCCCCATTCCCTGGGCTCTCAGACCCCACGGCTCTAGCTGGGTGGGCTCTGGGCACTCCCCGGTGGACTGGGAGACAGGGTTGTGCAGTCTGGAGGAAACTTGGCAGGGTCTGGTCTTATCTTGGGAAGCCTATGCCAGAAGTAGTGGCTGAGCCTGTCTGAGAGACCCTGTTGGGGTTCCCTTGTTGAGCCCACACTGTGGGGAAGGAAGGATGCTCACAATCCCACAGGCCCAGCAGGACCAGGGACGCAATGCCAGTGAGGGTCATGGAGAGAAGCAGGATGCCCCGGCGGCCGAATCGGTCCACGGTGACCCCCAGGAAGACGCAGGCTAGGGCCGCTGTGCCGCTGGCCAGCAGGGAGCACAAGTAGAAGTCTGATGGGCTCCCTGCTCCTCCCATAGGCTGGTAGCAGTGGCCAATGGCGTGGGCAATGAAACTGTGAGAACGGGTGAGGAGGCAAAGAACAGTGTCCGAATCCCTAGCCGCAGCCTTCCTGCTCCCATTGTCTTCTTCCAGCCTCCCGCTTCCTCCACCCAGCCAGCTCCTGTCTCAGCTACTGGCCTGGCCCTCAGCTCTGATAGTCAGGCTCACTTGGTGAAGCCCAGGATAAGCAGATTCTTCCAGATGTTGCGGTAGTTGAGGAGAGCCACAAAGGAAAAGGTGGATGTTTCGGGCAGTGGACAGGTGTTCTCCAGGTCTTTGAGACAGAGAGGGGAGCTCTATATTAGCACAAAGAGCTGAGAACCCAGGCTCCTCCCACGTGGATGGTGGAGACCCGGGGGGCGGTGGCACAGCTTCAGCCATGAAGAGGCCAGTGCCACAAAGGAGGGAACCCCTGACTGTTACCCTGCAGGGCCTCCTGGGCTTCCTCCCCCAGCATCTGCCCGTGGGGCCGGTTCCGCTCAGCCAGGATCCTCAGCACAGACTGGGCCTCTTCGATTTGCCGCTTCACTATGAGCCACCGTGCAGACTCCAGAAACAGACCAGGCCAGCTGGAGGCAGGGTGGGAAGGTACACGGTGAGGCCTCCCCTCTCCTGACACAGAAATGCCCACCCCTGAGAGGCTGGGCAGGTCTGGACTGGGGGCACCTGGAGGGCAACAGGGGTCTCTAGGCTAAGAGCTAAGCTGGAGGTGGAGCTGGGAAGGGCCAGGTCACAGGGGAAGGGCAATACTAACCCATAAAACAGGAAGAGGATACAGGGAGCGGTGATCATTCGCTGCAGAAATCTCCAGTCCTTAGAGACAAGGGCCAGGCCCAGGAACAGGAAGTGCCCTCCCACCCCCACCAACTCCCCTGCCAGGGACACCCGAAGCCTCTGGGTTGGGTCGCACAGCTCCAGGCCTAGAAATAAAGCAGGGATGGAGGGAGGAGAGGCCAGGGAGGCAGAAGGCACGAGAGAAAAAAGGAGAGAGGAAAAGGAGGAAAGAAGGGAGGAGGACAGAGAGCTAAGTCAGACCCTGAGCAGAGGCTGCTGCCATTGCCTCCCACAGACTAAACTCTGGGTGGCAAGGAGTAGAGATTGTTTAGTCATCTCTCTTTTCCTACTCAAACCTAGGGCTCTAGGATCAGAATATTCCCGGTTTATAGGCCCTTTCACCTCCCGTCTCTTTTTTGATCTTCATGTCAACCCTTGTTCAGAGTCACATAGCTAATCAGAATTTCCTTTTTTAGTCAGGTGGATTTATTGGTAGCAGTAAGTCCAGGGCAAGGCTTTAAAGGTCACAGGAGAGAAATGTGGAGAGAAGCAGGACCCTTGCATCCATCAAAGGCAGGGCAGAAAGTGAGACTCTGAGCAGCTGAACTCTGGGATCGAAGAAGGGGCTGAGGAGACCCTAGTGGGCAGCTGGGGTGGGAAGGCAGAAAGGTGGGTGTGACACAGGAGGGGACTCAGGCAGGGTGCCACTTACGCATCAGGTAGACACCAAGGTCAACACCAGCAAGCAGAAAGCCCAGGAGGAATCGGAGGGCCATGACGCCTGTGGAGGAGCCTGCGGCAGCCCCTCCCACTCCACAGGGACCCACCAGTCCCAGAGTCAGCAGCACAATCCCGCGACGGCCAAATCTAGAAAGCAGGGAAGGCTTCTGGTCACCTAGACTCCCTGGGTGAGGAGGTACTAGGCAGGGCTCAGTACCTACTTCAAAGCTGGAGGTAAGGATGAGGTTCTGACAGCAAAAGCTAGACTGAGGCTAAAGATGATGGAAAGGGGTCATTGATTTCTAGATACTGGTCACTGAGGTGAGGCTACGAGGACTGAACCCAGGGCCTTTGTATGGAGCTACATCTTCAGGCCTTTTTTATTTTTTTGGTACCAGGGATCAAACTTGGGTCCTTGTGCTTGTGAGGCAGGCAGTGGAACCACTGAGCTAAATCCCCAGCCCTGGCCTTTTTATATTGAGACAGCCTTGTTAAATAACCCAGGCTGAGCTTTGAACTTGCAATCCTCCTGCCTCAACCTCTCAGAGTGCTGGGATTATAGGCATGTGTCACCATACCCAGCAATTTAGGACCACTGATCTTGGGGCACAGCAGTAGTGGTCAGTGGGAATAGCATTGGTACCAGGGATTGAATTTGGGTCCTTGCACTTGTGAGGCAGATGGTGGAAGCACTGAGCTAAACCCCTGGCTAATAGCATTTGTCTTGTTCAGATCAGAGGAGATGCAAGTCATTCACATATCGGATTACAGCCTTGATCCATGGAGGTGAGGCTGCTGGGGACACTACTGGTCCGTGAAAATGGAGCTACTGATTTCAGGGGACTGATTCATTGACTTTGGTAAGTGAAGCTATTGTTCCATTAAGTTAGGACAGGGCTTTTTAATACTTTGGGGTTGCCAGTGGGATGGACCACTAGCCAGGAGATGGAGCTACTGATCTATGGGAATGGGTCCATTAATCCATGAGGTAGGACTATTGATCTGAGAGGATGGGAATCAATCTTTGGAGAATGGAGAAGTGATCTCTAGGAATAGTGCCATTGATCCATGGGACAGGGATTTTAGTATGTATGGATGGGTGGTTAGTAGAGATAAATCTATTAACACATGGAGATAATTAGTAAGGATGGGGTTACAGACAAGGGGAGACGAAATTACTGGTAAACAATGATGGTCACATACCAGCAGTCAGCGGGGATAGAGCTACTGATCTATTGGGGGGGGCTTGGCTATTGATCTTTGGTGATAAGACTACTGATCTATGGAGATGAAGATTGGTCATTGGTATATGTGCTGCAGGACCAAGTACAGCCACTGGTCTTGGAAAGGGGGCACTAATCCCTGTGAATGAGGCCACTAACCCAAAGGAATGAAAGCCCTCCTCTTAATGAGGATCACCTCATTGGTTAATGTAGGTAGGTTGTCTGACTTTAAGAGACTGAGGAATAGGAATAAGGCTACCAGCCTGTGGAAATGAAGCCACTGATGCACAGGGATGTGCTATTTGTGGGTTTAGGATCATTGGCCCACAGGCGTATGTCACTAGCAGGCAGCAAAGAGGTTACTGATTTTAAGAAATGGACTATTGAATCTTGAGATGCTTTTGGACAACTAATCCATTCAGATGGGACTGCAGCTCACTCGGGGTGGAGCTGGAGAATCTGCTCAGTGGTGATGGTGTCCAGAAACAGAGGAGACAGGATTTCTGATCCTTGGGCGGGGGAGCTATTGGTAGTGGGCTGTTGATCTATGGGGATGAGGCCACTGATTCATGGAAATGGAGATATCGGTCTGAGGGAACCTGAAAGCCCCCGCAGGTGCTCTTGGGGCATTTGGTGGCAGGCACAGGACCATAGGCTATTGAAGATGGTGGTACTGTTCTTTGGAGATGGTTATTGACTGGCGGGGAAGGGCCACTAGACACACATGGGGTCAGTTGTTTGCAAAGCTGAACTACTCGTCAGTGGGAACGGGGCTGTTGTTATTTAGGAATTAACATTGATCTTTGGGAATGAGTCCAGGAGATGAAGCTAACAGTCCAGGTGGGCTATTAGCTGTTGGGCATGAATCTTTCTGTTAACCCATAAAGACAGTAAGAGATGGTTAGGGTAGTGAGGGCAGAAGAGGGAGAGACAAGACTTTTGATCTGTAGAGATAGGGTTTTTGGTTAGGGATGGGACTCTTCTTTGGAGATGGGGCCATCGATCTAAGAATATGGGACTACTGATCAGTGGGAAGAGGGCAAACAGTCCACAGAGGTGAGGCCATCCCTTGGGCCAGAGGGGTGTGGAACTGTTTTTTTGATGGGGAGTGAAGATGAGATGGGGCAGATCATTGAGCACAAATCCGGAGAAGACTGCAGAGTCCAGCGATGGTCCTCGGCCTCCTGCCGCCCCGGTTGCTTGGGCTGGCTTTCCTAGGCCCCCTCGTCTCTACCGGCCCTACCCCCAGACAGTTCTCACCTGTCTGCGGGGTAACCCAGGAACAGGTAGCCGGAGGCAAAGCCCAAGATGAAGAGGATCTGCTCCAGGATCACCTGCCAGCCCAGGTCACACACCAGATCCCACTGGGGACGTGAGAAGGGTGCAGCGAGCGTGAGGTCCTGACCTCTCCACCCTCTGCCCGCCCCGGGTCTGCGTCCGCCTGGCCTGGCCTGGCCTGGCCGTCTCACCTGGCCGATGGCGTTAGTGGTGAGCACCGGGAGCCCGTTATAGTCCCAGTCCTTCAGGCAGTGGTTGAAGTCCGGCGGGGCGAAGCCGCTGCACGCGGGGTCCGTGCTGGTGGCTACGCGGCTGGCGGTGCTCGCTGCTAAAGCTGCGCTAGCAGCGACGCTGACGCCACTGGCATTGGGAGGCTGCTCCCAGCCCGAGGCATTGGGGGGGAAGGCCCCGTAGTGGCAATGCAGTGGGGGCGCCAGCGTGAAGATGGGGTCCGAGGCCAAACCGAGTGCCACGAAGAGCACGGGCAAGCAACAGAGGCCGAGCTGCAGCTGCTGGCCGCCGCCCAGCGCCCCCACC